ATAATTTAGCGCCTCGCTTCGCTCGAGCGAGCGCCTAGCGCCTCGGGCGTTTGTGGACCTTGGCGCCTAGCGCTTTTTAAATCACAGAGTTGATATATGTCCACTATAACATGCAGCTAAGATTGTGGTGTGTCGAGCTAAACAAGGAGCCAGAGGAACTAGAGATTGATACCATCGACCTTCATTTCTACAACGAAGATTCAAAGTCAATGTTAGAGTGGGTCGAAGTGACGGAGAACCAAGAGGATCCTCTACTTAATGAGGTGGGAGATCCTTAATATCCTTCGCGTTTTATCACCCAAGCAATAGAAGAAGAGGAAGCACATCCCCAGCAAGAAGAAAATCCCCCTCGGTCAAAACGTGGCGGAAGGAGCCAAACAAGATCGAGTCAAACTACTTTAGGAATTATAAACACCCAATTGTCACAGTCGTCCGCCCAACATACAAAGGCAAAGGCAAATGGGAAAGCAATAGCATCAGCTGCACCGTTGGAAAGAATCGAGTCAAGCGACGAGACACATTCAGCAACTCACTCGGTCCATAAACATGGCAGCGACGTGGGCAGCAGTGCCTCGACTGATGATGGTGGCGACGTCGGGGAGTCGTTGATCCCGTCTACATAATTTGAGGGTGGTGCATGGACTGAGCAACAACATTTTACACATGTCATCAAAGATTCAAATCATGAAAATCGACGAGATACTAGTCAAGTTTATGCACGGAAAGAGAAGGGAAAACTAATGGTTGATTTTGAGCAGATGCAAGAGAGCCTACACGACATAGAAACAGAACGAAGCTCAACGTATTCATAGTCATCGTATTATGGGGAATCTTACGGCCAACAGCAGTATGGTGATAATTAGTCATACTTCTCCGATCAATAGTATGATATGGAGCAACAGATCAGTAGTGAAAGTAGAAGTTCTGACATTCACCAATACATGCCTTAGGAACCGCCTCGGACACCTGATTCATGACGATCAACCTACAACCATCACCACATTAATGCACCAATGACATACAGTGTATCAATACACTATGTCATGGGATCAATTTCAGGATTGGGTCCGACAAACATATCATATTGATATATATATACATAGAATCAAAGACCCCGATCCACCACCTATGGAGGCCCATTTTTCGTTTTGATAGTAGAATTAGGTATATCTACACATGTGACTAGTTAGTTCATTTGAATCTTAAAATTTAAGTTGTATAAAAAATAATCTAACAATTCAAATAATTTTTCTGTAGATAATTCAATATTAACGGAAGGACAATCCGAAATTACGAACCTTCCACAAGGCTACTCCTCAAAGCTCGAAAAAGATATATAGCACTATTCTTAATTTACATTATTTTTACTAAAACTATACTTAATATATATTTATTTATAACTTAAAAACCCTATCCTAACTTTTTTTCTATTTTTCAGATATTTTCGGAGAGATTTACGCCTAATTTAGGCATACCGTTTGGTATGCTGTACCATACCGAGCAAAGCTCAGTACACCGATACATCGTACGATATTCATAACAGAACCAACCCTCACTGATGGTGACAAAGAATGCAAGACAAAGTGTGAACTGTATGAAGGATTAGGAGTCATGAGAATTGGCATCATAATAAACTAAAGCATACAGTTGGAGATCACTATCAGTTAAATTCTACTATAAGAGAAAAACCAAAAAGCCATGTTATTTCCAAAGTTCCAATGCTAAAGGATTACAACTTAAAAATGATGTTGGTGAAGAGACAAGTCAAGGAATAAATAATAAATGTCAATACCTAGTTTGGCACACCACTGCTCAATAACTTGGATATAACAGGCCGTAATTACATGACCTCCCAAATTATTGATGATAACCATTAAGTCTTGTAGACCAACATACTGATAGATAGGATATGACTCTCCTATCAGGGTAATCTCCAACTCAGGAAATTTGAGAATAAATTCTCCAAGAATGAAAACGAGAGAAAGGTCTTAATTATACTAAAATCAGTGCACAAAAGGTAACCAAAGTTCAAGACATAGTCATAGAGGCTTATATCCATTTTCTATTTTTAGGGTTATTAGTGGAAAAATGCCTAATCTTTCTAGGACTTGAAGTATTCTAGGGTAATCCATAAAATACATGAATGGTATGCTGAAAATCATGGTTCAAGGATACACCTGATGGGTACATAACAACCATGATTTACCGGCTATGTTTTTCTTCCCAAGTTTATAAATTCAAGGATGCAAACTCTTCCAACCAAGATCCATCATATAAAGGTAGCTGAAAACAAATCATCAAAGTTGCAAATTAATCAAGCAAAAGTCAGAATTAGTTCAAGTAAATAGATCCTGAGGTTCCAATAGCTGATCAAACACTTGAAGAACAATTAGAAGCTCACAAGGAAGAGAATGAACTAAACTGATGTAGTCCTTCAGCTACAGCCACTCTGGGTTCCTTGGGAAGACTCATATTGGCTTAATATTGATCCCTAATATTCTATCTAAAACCAAGTGTATGGTTCAGGCACACAACCCTTCTGCTAGATGCAGACTCTTCCACTACTCAAATCTTATTATAGTGCCAAGGGCTATTTTTCATCATTATTGTGAAGATTCTTTTCAGATTAGTTATAAGGTCATGCACATATGTGCTATTTCAGATATGTATCGGTTTGAGTTCGAAAGTGAACAAGCCATCAGATTATCAACTACAAAGATCTGTCTTCTTATCTAAGATTTATTGGACTCAGATCTCTAACTTCAGAGATTTCTTCTCGAAATTTTCCTACAAGCTATATTATGTAGTGGTACAAGCCTTGGACTATATGGCCTACATCAAGGAGATGCCCTTAAGCTTCAAAGGGGGCAAAATTGAGATGTATATGCAAGTTCTAACAAGAAAACCTTAAGCCGGTAATTACAAACTAGATCTCAGATTTGTGTCAATTTTCAGTTATTGCCAAATCATATAGCAGAAGGTAAGTAGTGAACACAGAATCTGATCTCACGACCTTGCTATCAACGGTCAAGATTTTTCCCAGCTACTCGAGTTGACATCTTCAAAAACTTGTCAAATTGGTAAGTGGGTCTGGTACACCTGTAAACCAATATTTAGGTATGTTTTCCATGTTCTCAGCACCATAGAATTCAACAATCTTCATAATGTACTCTTCAAATGATCTCAACAAGTAGAAGTTTTCACTATTAAAATCAGACCGACAGTCCTTCCTTCATGCATACACAACAATAAAGACAAGAAAATAACTGAAGGTGTAGAACAGTAAATCAAGATTTTGAAAAAAAAGAAAAGAAAAAGATAAACAGTAAAATTGATATAGAACACATTTAAACCTCCTAAAGACTAGCATACCTGAAATCTGCTCAGCAGCCCAACCTTTATATGAGGATACTGAGAAAACCTCTCAGAAATTACAACAAAGTGTTGTTTGGCTAAAACAATAGTTGGTGTGAGAACCATAGCTTGTTTTCCGGCAGAGACAACACAGAAAATAGCACGCAATGCTACTTCTGTTTTACCAAAGCCAACATCTCCACAGATCAACCTGTCCATTGGAGTTTCTCTTTCTGTCAAATCTCTTTCAACATCAATAAATGCCTGTAAGTAATAAAAATGCACAGAGTCATCCAAGAAAGCTCAAGTCTATTTCCATGCTGTAATGACAAAAAAAAAAAAAAAAAGCATGCTAGATTTCAGCTAGATTAAGTGCACAGATGAAATAGAAGAAAGAAATCATCCACCTTTCCACACTAGATACACTCCACAATTCAAAAAAAAGTTAAAGAAAAAGGATAAGGAAGCAAGCATTATAATGCCACTCAATCTTAACCAAAACAGAAAAGCAAGTCAATGAACAACAGGCACACGCATGATACCTTTTAAAGTCTTCCAGGTTGGTGCTCCCTCAGATGAAAAATAGAAATAAGTCAAAGAGATGGAACATTATTTGGCTCTGGATTCAGAAGGATGTTATCATCATTATTCATTAATAAGCCAGCTTATGGATTTAGTTATACTGCAGGCCTAAACACCAAACCAAAGACTCACTCAAGTCAGCCTAAGAAAGCCTGAGTTATCTAATCTTAAAAGGCTCATGGGTTTTGCTGTGGTTTCATAACAATACTGCTCTTTTACCTACCTGATCACTCGGTACTTTGACCAGTGATGCCTGCTTCTCCCATGACCCATTATTGAACAGCAATACGAAAGAAATGCACATGGTATTGCAGCTATTGTTATTCCCTACATTGAATGAGTCTTTACTTGCCTCTCTTTGTTTCTTTGTTCTTTTTTTTCTCCTATTTGTTGTCACTAAAAAGCCCATGTCAGTGCAAAGGCATATGGACTGTGCAAACAGCATGTGATGTGTCAAACATCACCAAGATGATGGGCACTAATAGCCTAATAGAACAAAATTTTGTTATGAACCTATCTGGTTTTGTTGCCTGAAATCTTCAGTTATAATCTATGAACACTTATTTTGAAGACATCTATCACATGACTCTGCAGACTAGTTCTATAGCATTTTTTATTGCTCTAAACATGAAAAGAAGGTTGAACCATCAGAAGTTAGCAAAATCTGCTCACCTAGTAGATCATAAACTGTAAAGCACTACAATTGAGGCTCAGGATATGGCACCACAAATAGGAATCCCCAAAACCAGTGCTACGAGATTCATAACTGTAGTGAGAATAGACGAACCTGTTTTTGGTCTGGGGTAGGCTTATAAGGAAAGTGAGCTGCAAATTCAGCCATGGATGGGCTCTTTGGATATGGTGGCCTTTTCTGTTTCAGCCTATGCAAGTATAGTTCCATCAAGTCAACAATCATTTTCTGAACAGCAATCTTCCCTTTTATCCTTCTCCTTTGCCATGTAGTAGGGTCACTCAGCTTGCTCAATGCTCGTGGCTTTTTTGTTTCATTTGGACTGCAAAAGGAATAAGCTGAAGAAATGTTTAATATATATCCCTAAGAACAAAATACTCAGTTGATCTCAGGGTCAAGTTAATGCTCATAAATGTATATCCTAAATCAACTGCAGCATGATCTGATGGAATGAGACATGCAATGTAAAAACTAAAAATGACTATCAAAAAGGTACAGTGAGGATTCAAAAGAATATTTGATAATAGGTGAGTGTGATGCATACTCAACAAATAAATTTAGGAATACCCTGTATGCTACAGAGAAAATTACATCATATGCTACAGAAAGGATTGGTAGATAGAAGCATGTAGTTCTTTTCTTCAGAAATGCAAGGAAAATTATGAATATTTGAAGCAAACTTGAGTATATTCTACGATAGACTTCCATGATATGAAACCTAATTGCATATGCAAGTCCACATGCAACAAATATTTACTCTCAGAAATCGATTCAAATCTCAACCATACCACTCATATGGTCTGGTATTGACTGGTCTAACAACTGATCGATACATGGACAAGACAATTCTGCAAGGTCTAGTCCAATACCAAGCTCACCACCTGATATGCTTGGCACTTGGAACTAACTTAATGATTTGCCTTAACTTGTGCTGAACTCTTGTGCTGGACCTATTAGCAAGGAGCCAGCCAACTTTTAACCTTGAGGCAGCACTTGGAAGAGAGAAAACAGAAAGTAAATCAATAAGTGCATGCACAGCTATTTACAAGGCACTCGATATAGATTGAACAAGCAACAAAAGGCAAATAAAAGTTTTATCAAGCAACAAGGGACAGTCGACAAGCTTGAATGAATGCTGTGAAGGGCCCAAAGGTAGAGAGGAGCAAAATGAATGCCAAACACACATGGTGATCAAACAAAGCAACATGTAAGGCTCACTTAATATGTCTTCTTGCCCCTCGAGTAGCACATCAAACCCTTATTCCACCTAGAGAGTTCCTTGGGGCTGAGAAGGCTAACATTTTGCTAAATGCTCTGCTCACCAAAAACCTCCTATGACGGTCTTGGAAGCGGGCTATATTGGCCCAGTTGCACCCTGTTCATTAAGTTTCAGCTCGCAACAATCTTTTCTATTATAAGGACTCAAATACAAGCAAAATTGACAATACTAGCCTACCGTATGCCTCTCAAGTTTATGCTGTATAAAACACATAACAAAAATGAAAGTGGCAAACTGCTCATGCAACCAAAGTTGTTATTGCTGCAGTAAAGGATGTGGCTACAATCCATGATATGTCCTCCCACTTACACTGTCAATGTCATTGTTGACATGTGCTTGAATGTTAATATAATATATTCTTCATGCCTCAAAGCATTATCTAGCTCCCAACTTATTTCTAAAGTGGGAAGGTTCTGCCACTTCACCAAGTGTTTTGAAGTGTTTTCTTAGGCAGATTGTACAGGCATGAAGCATTGCCAGTCCTATTTTGCTTTATTGGAAGTGTTTTGTTTTTTGTTTTTCTTGAGAAAACTTGGAAACGCTTCTGGCTATGCAGCTTTGCACACAAGGGAAACAGACAAAACAACCACATTCTTGTGTGTTATGGCTGAATGGGCATGAAATGTCAGTTGTCTCGGCACCTTGAAACCCCGTGGATGGCACCAGACCAAATGAGGCCTTGGTTATATGTCTAAGGAATGGTGCAACATCTTTAGCATGTTCGTTTTATGTTCAACTGATAGATTAAGCAAATATTGGGCCTATACCTACCTTCCGAACCCCTTTGTACATGATCATTCAGCTCATTTGAGTAAGTTTTTTGTGCTTAATAAAAACTAGTTGCTTTGTGTTGCTTGCAATCCCAATTATTTTGTCTTTATGTACGATAGTAGCATATTATATGTGTGTTCGTCTTTCTAAACTTTTCTTCTCTATGCATGGTTTTTGTGGATTGTACAAGGTTAAGGTCTAAGCTAACCCTTGCGGACGAATATCACTTGAGTGTCACACGCCTTAGGCAATCCCAGCTAAGCTAGGCTAAGGATGTGATAGCAAAGGCTCCAATTGACCCACTAGCTTTTGTCCCTCCACCTTGTCATATTGACATGTGACGCATATCTGCACATACTCCTATGCTTCCTAACTCATCATCAGCTAGAAAAATGCTCTCTCCATACGAGCAAGGTTCGATGCATGTCCAAAAGACCTACGTAAAGAGTATCATAAGGTCATGACACCTTTTCAAAGGTATCTTCCAACTTCTTATAAACACCTTGAAAAGAGTCCAGATATGAAGAAACAAATTCTTTAAACATCCTTAAAGGAGAAAGATGAAGGCTTTATAATTGTGGTCGTGATAGAAATCAAGGGCATGGTAGAGGCCATAGAAGTGGTTTACAAACATGGTCAAAGCGGATGAGAAAAAAATGAAGGCTTTATAATTGTGGTCTTGATAGAAGTCAAGGACATGGAAGAGGCCAAGGAAGTGGTTGACAAACGTGGTCAAACTGGATGAGAATAAAATGAAGAAATAAAAGATGAATGTAGAAGAAGAAAGATAAAAGAAGATGTTATTTAAGAAAGAAGAGACAATATCAAGTTACATCAAACTGGATGTCGATATTTTCAGAAGCCCCTTAGTTCAAAATTAATTTTCAAATTAAAGAGCTTGTTGTGAATACATGTTTGAAGAAAACTAAGGAATTATGTTGGAAAATAAATTTATTCTATTTATCTTATGTCTTTTGTCGAGATGAGACACCAACAAAAGGCATATGAAAATGGAAGGTCATATTGAATAGGGTCATTATGAAAAGGTACATGAACCTTATCATAGGTTCATGATAATGATTGCAAATTTAAAGGATTTGTCTCCTAATCCCTACAAATAAATGGAACTTCATGGTGTAGAAATTGTAGAGAAAAATTGTAATTATGTGAGGATCAAATATTATCTTATATCTCATCCACCATAGTCCCACTACTATTTCTCTCTTTCCTACTTACTACAATCAAAGGATGCATTTTTTAGTGGAACATGCAATTCCAGCGATCAGAACTTATTCCCGTAGTTTGCACCATTTGTTGTCTAGGTGAAAGAAAATAAGGATACAGTTTGATGCATTTTCAAACCCAACAAGGTATGTGTCATTACAATGCACTTAGTTATGGGATAGCATCACCTATTCCCTTAACCCTTATACATGTATCAAACGACCACTGAGGTTCGATGTGCATAATCTCTTCATCTCTATCTTCCATTACTTCAATTTTCTTTTAAATATCAAATGTTATAAATTCAAATTCTGGAAGATATTAACTCAACTAAGAATGTGAAAGAGAACCAGATAATATTGATGTGATGAGAAAATTCTCACAGATTGTAGCGGTACAGCATCCGGCATGCCTGCTTGACAGGAAGCTTAGCCATGCCATCAGCATACTCGATGAAGACATACTCAATGGGGCCCGAGGATGAGTCCTTTGGCGCGTCGAACTTGATGGCGACGAACTTCCCAATCCCAACCTTCTTATGCACAACATAATCCCCAGGCCGAAGCGTGTAGGGATCAACCTGGTACCCGAACCCGCCCACATTGCCATGTTTATCCCCCTTGAGCTTCTGCAAGCCCCTCTGCTGCTGCTCCTTCACCAGCTTGATGTACTTATCGGCCTCGACGGAGTCCATCGAGCTTCCGTTGTTGGCTCCCTCCCTGCGCTTATGCTCCCTTCGGATCCTCTCGTTGAGGATAGCAATGTCGTCCGGCTCGGCCTCAGGCCTCTCTAACCGGGGGGCGACGGCCCCCTCGGTGTAGAAGGCGGTGTTCCTGAGCGAGAAGATCAATCGCGGATTCCCTCTTGTGAAAGGGCACTTGGGGGCCGGAAGCCATCCCAGTCTGGAACGAGAGGGGTAGCGGAGGGAGAGGCGCTTCGGCGTCGAGATTGGAGGCGGAGGGGCGCTCGCTGCAGCCATGAATCAACTGATGGGGCTCGGCGAAGCAGCGCTCAGAAGCATGGAGAAGAAGACGGATTCGCCATTACCGAGGGAGATAGAGAGGGTTTTGTGGAGGTTTAAAGGTGTTGTTACATCTGTGGATAGTATGAGGCCTTCTGTGGACGAGACTAACAGAGACGGAGGGAGAGATATTTTATGGAGATAAAAGATGAAGCAAGCGTCTGTGGGATTCAACCGGAGGTAGTACGCCCGTCATCGTTACCTGCACACGTCATCGACGGACAAAAGAATACCGACCGATCCTTGTCAACCGGACTTTGACCACGATTTCTCTGGCGAAATAATTAAAATATTGTCATTGTAAACGGCAGATTGATAAAGAAAATTCAGAAATTCGAGGAATTTATCGGATATTGATTTTTTTTTTGACATTTTATGAGCGAGCATTTTGTTTTTGGACGTTTGGACCTTTAATTCAGATTTGTATAAGAGTTTGATTTGAAAATCAAATTTGGATGAATTTGATTTTGATATTTAAGAATAAAAATTAAATAAGTTCTGGCGTATCATAAAATATCCTCTTTGAAGAGATGGCTTCATCAACTCTTCCTCGCTCGTTAAGTGACTCCTCTCCTTTTACTTGTAAACCCTTTAACTTCTATCATTTTTGCTCTCGTCGTGATTTTATTTTTCGCCGATAATATCATTGGACTTATATTTTTTAAATATATTATCCTGTAGAGAGAATCTCATGAAGGCCTAAGTATGTAGGCAAGCCTTTTCCATAGTGCACATCACTATGACTTTGAAAGCTTTAAAGAATATGAAAAAGTTCAAAGAATCTAAAATTTATTCCGTAAATGTGCTAAAGTTAGAATCCTAAGACATTGTTGATGCTAAGGAACAATGACAATTTGCGCCTCATTGTAAATATTTAGGGTGTTCTTTGTCACTTGATTTCTTAACGACTGAACTACTAAAAAAATAAATGTTAAACTTGACTACTAGATCATTTATCGATTTGAGAAACTTCGTACGATAAAAATCAGTTTAGACTTAAATCATTTGTTTCACTTTAAATAAGTAAAAAAAAAAATATTGGACAATTTGTAATATAGTAAAGTTGAATTCAGTAAAGAGAATTTGCAGTAAGGAAAGAACACACCGGAATTTATAGTGGTTTGGTTGTTGTGACCTACATCCACTTCTGATTCCTCCTCCGACGAGGTCACCGACATCCATTAATGGTCATTCTTCAATAGGTGAAGACCAACCACCTCTTTACAGCGCTTTTTACTTTTCACGGGTTTATGAGATAACCCTTACAAGCCTCACACCTCTCTTAAATGATTTCAACACTTAGAAAGGGAGGATGAGGACTCTTGCTTTTTTACAACACTTTAACACCCCAAGAATTCAAGATTTGTTAACACTTTTGTGCCCTTTTAAGTAGAAAAGGGTGGGGTATTTATAGGCCCCAATGGCTTCAGAATTGGAGCCAAAAAGTGTCACATCCCCATATTTTGGGATACTAACAGTATCACCGCCATTATTGGGCAGTACTACCACTTGCAGACTGACACTAGGTGGTAGCACCGCCCAGTCTGGCGGTACCACCACCTAATAGAGCTCTCGAAGATTGAGTTCTAGCGATACCACCGCTTGATAGGGGCGGTACCACTACTAGCAACATTAACTGCCGGCGGTACCACCGCCTAGACCACCTGGGAGATTGAGTCACCAAGCTGTCACGGCCTTAGCTAGAATTGCCTAAGGCGTGAGGCACCCTTGCGGCCAAAGACGCGAACTTAGCTTACGTTGCCTAAGTCGCGAGTCACCCTTGCGACAAAGACGCGAACTTAGCTTGCGTTGCCTAAGTCGCGCTTCGCCCTTGCGATATTGCTCCGCAAGAATCAGCCCACTTGAAACCTCTCGCAGGTCCCGAAGGACCTGTAAAAGAGAAAGTTGGTTAGTTCGAAAGAACGAGCAATGGACAAGTCTTGAAGTCTCGCGAAAAGGGGAAGATTTACAAGCAATTCAGCGAGCACCTTGCGTGCACAAGAGAAAAGAGGGAGAGGGAGAAAACAAGGCTTTAGAAGGATGAACGAACAGTTGCAAGCCCACAAAACAGCCGCTCACCTGGTCCCGGGCGCGAAGACAAGTTCCCGTAAAGGCCACGTACGAACTTGCGAAAGAGAGTTCAACGCCCGGTATATAACCGAAGCCCCATCCAGCCATGTGCCACCCGGGGGGTTCAAAGGGGCTGAGATGGCTGACGTTTTGGTGAGCGGAGGTAGTTCTCCGCAACCCTCCCGTGGCATGCGAAAACAGAGCTATTTTGGGCTGTTTTGGGGCTGTTTTGCTCGGTTCGGTGAGCGGTCGCTTTGTAACGCTGCAGCTTGTTCGAACTTACATATTTACAAGAAAAATGACCCAAAACCAAGAGAAAACATGCTGTCAAGCAGCTGTACATGCAGGTGTGAGTAACGAACGGTTCATTGAACGGAGTTGTTGCGGGTACGCGACGACCGTTCGTGACATTCTCCCCCACTTAAACTGTCGACGCCCTCGTCGATGCTTGTTGGTAGTTGTTGATGACTTCTTCTTCATGTCGCAGGGCGTCTTCAGGCTCCCAACTGGCTTAAGTTCGGGGAAGCTTTCGCCACTTCACCAAGTACTCTGTCTACTCAGCTCCGTTGGGTAGCTTTATCTTGCGGTCCGCCAGAATGGTTTCCACTCGCTTCTCGTAGGAGGCTGTGATGGGAGGTAGTCGAGTTGGAACACTTCGGGAAGCATCTCGCGGATCCGAGTGTAGGCTTTTAGGTTGCTGGCGTGAAGAACATTGTGAATTTTGAACCACACCGACAGCTGCAACTTGTAAGAGACGTTGCCTACCCTGCTGATAATTGGGAAGGACCCTTCATACTTGCGCACCAATCCTTTGTGGACTCTGTTCCTAAAGAATTGGAGTGATGCTGGTTGGAGCTTTACCAACACCAAATCGCCAACTTTGAACTCTTGCGGTCGCCTTCCCAAGTCTGCCCACTTCCTCATCCTTTTTGCCGCCTTCTCCAAGTAAGCCCGCGCAATATCTGCATTTCGATGTCACTCCTTTGCGAAATGATAGGCTGATGGACTACTCCCAGTATACCCAATTGCCATGGTGTGCGGAGTCGACGGTTGTTGTCCTGTGATAATCTCGAATGGGCTCTTGTTGGATGCAGAGCTCCGCTGCAGGTTGTAAGAGAATTGGGCAATGTCCAACAGCTTCACCCAATCTCGTTGATTGACACTCACGTAGTGCTGGAGATATTACTCCAAGAGTGAGTTTATCCTTTCAGTCTGGCCATCCGTCTAAGGGTGGAGGCTTGTAGAGAAGTATAACTTCGACCCCAACAATTTGAACAGCTCGGTCCAGAATCATCCCAGGAACCGAGCGTCTCGATCGCTAATGATATTGTGCGGGACTCCCCAATACTTCACTACATTCTTCATCATCAGCTTGGTTGCCTCCTCTGCTGAACAGTGTAGGGGAGCAGCAATGAAAGTTGCATACTTTGAAAACCAATCGACCACCACGAGTATTGATCCGAGTCCCCCTACAGGTGGTAAGCTTGATATGAAATCCAAGGAAATGCTCTCCCACGACCTTTCTGGTACGGGCAACGGCTCCAAAAGTCCCACCGGCTTCCGCTGCTCCACGTTGTCTTGTTGGCAAGTAAGGCATGTTCGAACATATTCCTCCACATCAATCCCCATCTTCGGCCAGTAGAAGGCCCTCTCCACGAGAGCCAACGTTCTGTGAATGCTTTGGTGTCCAGCCCAAAGGGAATCGTGACACTCTTTTAAGAGCTCATGCCTTAAATTGTCCACTCGGGGAACATACACCCTATTCCCTTTTGTGTAAACAAGTCCCTCCTGGACCCAAAATCGTCGTGTCTTGCCTTCTTTGATGAGCTACATCAGGATAACTGCCTGGGGATCACTATACAGTCCATCCCTGATTCGGGAAAGGAAGTTGGAGTGCAACTGACTTGTTTGGCCTCTACCCTCCAGTTGTACAGCATTCACGCATTCCACTTTCCGACTCAGCGCATCGGCCATGACATTCGCCTTCCCGGGCTTGTACTCCATTGCCATATCAAATTCAGCCAGGAAGTCCTGCCATCGCGCCTGTTTTGGGGAGAGCTTCTTCTGAGTTTGGAAATAGCTCAGGGCGATGTTGTCCGTCCTCAGCACAAATCGTGACCCAAGGAGGTAGTGTCGCCAAACTCGTAGACAGTGGATCACTGCTGTCATCTCCTTCTCATGCATTGGATACCGCCGCTCGGTCTTGTTGAGTTTGTGGCTCTTGTAGGTCATCGGATGACCTTCCTGCATGAGTACCCCCCCAATAGCGAAGTCCGAAGCATCTGTATGGACTTTGAAGGGCTCTCCATAGTTCGACAATTTGAGCACCAGTTCTTCTAGAATAGCAGCCTTCAGATCTTGGAATGCTATCTCACATTTGTCAGACCACTTCCAAGGCTGCTCCTTCTTTAGCAACTCCGTCAGTGGGGTTGCCCGCTTCGAATATCCCGCTATGAAGCGTCGATAGTAGTTGACGAAACCAAGGAAGGATCTCAACTCTGACACCTTCTTTGGAGTTCGCCATTCTGCAACTGCTTGCACCATCGACTTATCCATCCGAATGGAGCCATCACCAATTTGATGCCCCAAGAATAAGATCTCAGTTTGAGCAAAGTAGCATTTCTCCCTTTTATGAACAAAGTGTTCTCCCTGAGAACCTTGAAAATCGTTCGAAGGTGCTTGACGTGCTCCTCGAGCGTTTGACTGTAGACGACGATATCGTCCAGGTAGACGACCACAAACTTATCCAAATACTCCTTGAATAACTGGTTCATGAGAGTGCAGAATGTGGCCGGAGCGTTGGTTAAGCCGAAAGGCATCACCAAGAACTCAAACGCTCCATACCTGGTCACACAGGTAGTCTTCGCTTCGTCGCCTTCAGTAATGCGCACCTGCCAATACCTCGACCGAAGGTCGAGTTTTGAGAAATACTTAGCCTTGACCAATTGGTCGAACAAGTCCGCAATGAGCGGGATGGGATACTTGTTCTTCACTGTTACTTTGTTGAGGGCTCGGTAGTCGACGCATAATCGGAGGCTCCCATCTTGTTTCTTCTGGA